TGAGCCCGGGACAAGCATGCAGCCAGTGAAGGCAGAAAACGTCAGCTCTGTATGTTCTCCGACATGTGCCGCAGCCGCAGCTGTCCCTGTAACGTGATATGTGAGAGTCACGGAACACGTGTCGGCTATTATCCGGGAGCGGTCTGTGATCTCCGCCGCGTCACGCCGCCGACTCTCTCTAGGAATCGCAGGCTGACGCCGATCCCTCGATGCGCTCTCATCCACCATGAATGGCTTATAACGCGCCATTCTTAGAGACGCCGAGTCTGAAAGGGAGACCATACTTCCTGTACGACAATGGGTGGAGGGGGGGTCTGTCACTTTAATTATTAACCCCTTCCCGATCAGAGGTCATCGAAGCCTGGGAAGATATCCTCTCACTTCCTGTTTTGCCAGCGGGACAGGAAGTGCAGGGGGTTATCTTCGGCGGGGACACAGATAAGAATGAGATCTGATACATTCTCGCCCCCTTCTTCGTGACTACGTCCGACCCGAAAATAATGCCGGAGATCAATAAACGCACCACGGGGGGTCAATGTGTCAACGTTTTCACCCGAGGCGCACAAAATGTGTGAATCTTGGGGTGAAAATATTGATACATTGACTTCTATATAAATATGTCTGTGTGTGTGTGTATATATATTTATATAATTTATTTATATTAAAGTGGCTCTCAGTGGACTGACACAGAAGACAGATAGCGGCTCCAGGCCAGAGATCAATACCCATATAGGCAAATGGCAGTAGGACACATTACAGTCCTGGTGCCTTAAGGGTTCCTCTGCAAAAAAGGAATTTGAAGCTCGCTCTTCCTTTACATTTCGACGTCAGCCAATCAGGATGTTTGTGGGGCACCTTAAAGGGGAACTCAATCCAATGGTTCCAAGCCAAGATTTTTAACCGTGTCTGTATTTGTATGAAATGCTGGGCAGATAGAAGATAATGTTTGGACAGACCTTGCTCGGTATGTTGACCTGCGGGGACCGTGTGCATGCTCCCCATGCTTTCCCACAATGCAATGCTCAGTGCCAGAGTCGCCAACCTCCAGGCTACGCGCTGTGACATTGAAGGGTATGGCTATAAAGGTGCAAGTGCCTACCAGAGGCTGTAGACGGTATTTGATTGCTGCGTCATAGTTGGTGGGCAACCATTGTCTTCACCAGGGTAGATCAGAGGCCGCAACCCCAACTCTACCATCTTCTTAACCCCTGAGGAGAGTTCAAGTGACCATGGCAGTAGAAAAACTCTGATAGGATTGCAGGTCCTTGAAGGCACCAATATGAACAACTTATTACCCATCGTCATCTTTGGTGGGCAACCATTGTCTTCATCAGGGTAGATACATTAGGGACAAAGCTGAATACATACCTCTTGTCCTTCCAGGCCAACTGCCTCGTGCTGCCACCCAGCCAACCTCAGGATTGCCCTAGTATCAGATTATTGTGTAGATCAGATGGCAGTAGGAGTAGGATTGCAGGTCCTTGAAGGCACCAATATGAACATCTTAGAACCCATCGCCATATTTGGTGGGCAACCATTGTCTTCACCAGGGTAGATCAGAGGCCGCAACCTCAACTCTACCATCATCCTACCCGCTAAGGAGAGTTCAAATGACCATGGCAGTAGAAAGACTCTGATAGGATTGCAAGTCCTTGAAGGCACCAATATAAAGATCTTAGAACCCATCCCCATCTTTGGTGGGCAACCATTGTCTTGACCAGGGTAGATCAGAGGCTACAACCCCCAACCCTACCATCTTCCTACCCCCTGAGGAGAGTTCAAAGGAACATGGCAGTAGAAAAACTCTGATAGGATTGCAAGTCCTTGAAGGCACCAATATAAAGATCTTAGAACCCATTGTCATATTTGGTGGGCAACCATTGTCTTGATCAGGGTAGATCAGGGGCCACAACCCTAACTCTACCATCATCCTACCCCAAAGGGGATAATGTACACTTAAGTTGAGCTGAAAGGACCGTGGCAGTAGAAAAACTCTAATAGGGTTGTGGGTCCTTGAAGGCACCAATATGAACATCTTAGAACCCATCGTCATCTTTGGTGGGCAACCATTTTCTTGACCAGGGTAGAACAGAGCCGACAACCCTGAATCTACCATCATCCTACCCCAAAGAGGATAAGGTACAGTTAAGTAGAGTTCAAATGACCATGGCAGTAGAAAAACTCTGATAGGATTGCAGGTCCTTGAAGGCACCAATATGAAGATCTTAGAACCCATCGCCATATTTGGTGGGCAACCATTGTCTTGACCAGGGAAGATCAGAGGCCACAACCCCAACTCTACCATCTTCCTACCCCCTGAGGAGAGTTCAAATGACCATGGCAGTAAAAAAAACTCTGATAGGGTTGCAGATCCTTGAAGGCACCAATATGAACATCTTGGAACCCATCATCATCTTTGGTGGGCAATCCATGTCTTGACCAGGGTAGAACAGAGGCCACAACCCTGACTCTACCATTATCCTACCCCAAAGAGGATAAGGTACACTTGAGTGGAGTTGAAATGACCATGACAACCATATTATCATGATTATCAATAACATGACCGTAGAAAAACTCTGATAGGGTTGCAGGTCCTTCAAGGCAACGATATGAACATCTTAGAACCCATCGTCATCTTTGGTGGGCAACCATTGTCTTGACCACTACCCACTACCTACGTCCTGACTCTACCCTGAGGAGAACACATTACACTTTAGTGGAGTTCAAAAGGCCAAGCGGCCTTATCATAATTGTAAATACCAATAACATGACCGTAGAAAAACTCTAATAGGGTTGCAGGCCCTTGAAGGCACCAATATGAACTTTATAGAATCCATTGACACTTTGAGTCTCCATGGGAAGCCCGTGTGGCCCGGGGCTAAGTAAGTCAAAGTGGACTGACCCTTTAAGCCGGGCCTGCTTCAGATATTAATTAGGTTGCCCTGGTGGGAATAGTCACGGCACACTTATAATGTACAT